CCATTTAATTTTGAAGGAAATATAATATTTTCTGTTAGTAAACTATAGTAGTACAATATATAGTCATAATAGTGACTTGATTAATTTCAGCTATGATTTTTAAGTATTAAGTTTAAACTAAAATTTAATCATGATTGGTGTAACACTAATTCTTTTGTTAAACCTTTAAATATAGATTTATAATAATGATTCTTTTTTATTTTATGTTTATATAGTAAATGCTAGTCATTCCTTTCCTCAAGTAGTTGGTTTACTTCTCTGGTTAGTAGAATTATGTGAAACTCAAAATCGATTTAACGTTATGGATACATTGTATCCAACAATTCTTGATCCAGACGAGTCTGAAGATGAAGATTATGAACAAACAGTGGAATTTAAGGTGCTTGCTACACTCTTATTTTAAGTTTTATAAGTAAACTTAAATTATTGTTTTGTTATATTTATTTAAATTATCAAAGACTTGGATAATTCTAGTCTTWTATAAAACATTTGTTTATTTTATGTATTACAAAAGTATATTTTTAATTAGTTATTATTTAATAAATGTAAATTATGTTTATAGATGTACTTGCCATTTTTATTAAATTCATATCAAGTTGAGAGTAGAGGATCTAATAAACCTGCAGATCAAGAATTCCTTAAGAAACAAGAAGAGCTCTTACTGGAAAATTATAGTTTGTTAATGTTATTTTATTTTATGTTATTGTAATTATAAAACTATATTATTTCTTATTTTAATTAGAAAAAACACTCGGTGTTGATGAAGAACTATTGATTAAACTAGAAGCAGAAGTTAATAGTCATAAAGAAGAGCTAGATTTACTAAATGACCTTACTGAAGAACAGAAATTGGAGGTATGATTAAATAAACTACTTAAATGCTATAAATAATAATTTAATTACTTGAAAAAGTAAAGGTATTGAAAAATTTAAGTAACAAAAAGTACAGTACATTGATATTATTATATGAGAATTATAAACTTGACATTTCAATATATTAATTATTAACCTTCTACAAT